CTCCTCTCACATTTCTTCCCGGGCAGGTAAAGCTCCACACAGCCATGCACGAACACAGACACACGGCCCATGTGCAGCTGGAAGTCGAACCTGAGCTTTGGGCCCTCTCCGACTTCAGGTGCATCGGCATGTTTACGGACTCCCTCACCTCCTGTGAACTGCCAGGCAACAGAACAGAAGGAGAATACCTCCCCTTGGGCAGGGGGCATGGTGCAGTGGTTAGCTCTGTTGCCTTGAGTCACCGGCCTGGTTCTCCCCGTGTCATCAGGAGATTTCCTCAGGTTTACCCCCTCAGTCAAAAAACATGCTAAGGTGACTTAGAGTTGTCAGATTGTCTGTAGGTGTGAATTGTGTGTATGTGTGAGTGTGTGTGTATATGTGTGTGTGCGCCCTGCGATGGGTTGGAGCCCCGCCCTGGGTAATTCCCTGCCCTGTGCCTGCAGCTTCTGCAACAGTCTCTGGCTGCAATCAGCTCTCAGGCAGGTGTAGAACATGGATGGGCCTCACTGTCAGTTCGCTTGACAAATTCTTGGACACATTTTTCATGCATGTCTCCTGTCTGCCTTCACTTGTGGCTGCGAATAAGCTCACAACTGGGGAGAATCCAAACCCCAAACTAAGATTAATCTCAGGGGCCAGATGACCACTTTGACCTAGTGTTCCTCAGGAGCCTCCAGCCAGACCACATTTTCGCTACCTCCCAGCTCCCAGCCAATCAAGGCACACCTTCACCAGGTATCCGGTGGTCTTGATTTGCTGGGAGCAGGGAGAGAACAAGAAATACGGTCCTGAGGACCCTAAGCACTTAAAGCCGTGTGATGGGAAGGAAGAGTGTCAACGACACAAGGACCCGGCCCTGGTTTAGCAGCCCTAGTTTGGATTAGCAAACAAGAGGAATGTAGGGCTGCTAGTTGGTGCAGTAAGGTGGATAGCCTCAGCGGAAGGCTCATACTCCAACTCCGCAGCTTGCGTCATCGAAGTTCTCCGCAGCCTGCATCTGCACTTTTTCACTCCTTATCATATCGGGAGTGACAATCAGACAGAAGAGGAGGCTTCTGTAATGGGGGGGGGGCACTCGCAAGGTGGTTCACACCGCAACAGTGAGCAGAGGAGCCCACGACTCCCCCATCCCTATTCCTCCATGCATTCCAGCTTTAATCTGGTCACTGGAATAGGACACGTGGACGAGGACAGCATGTCGTCACCGAAACTCCATACAGCAGCAATCAGAGCAGAGAGACCAAATTGATGGTGTCGTGATGAGTCATCAGATCTGCACTCTCAGCGCTCTGTCTGCCGCACTTCCGCCTCGCCAAAGGCCCCCGTCACCGCAAAGATGCTTCAGCAGTTACCTTTAGCCCACATGCCGTCAGATGAGGCGCCACGGGGCCAGCAATTGGGCGGGCCGTCACCTTAGGGATACCGGCGGGTTTAGCACTCGTCGCCATGGGAGCCGGCTTTCAGTGTACAGATGAGAGTTCGTGGCCATATAGGTCGGGTTAGGGTGAACTGGGGGGGGGAGCTTCCTGGAACTGCAACCGTCACAGCTGATGTGGCTGTGGTGTAGCGGTCCTACCCCCCGTAACGTGGGTCGGGCCTCCGTCACCCGGCAATCTCTGCTGACGTCTCCTGACCTCATGGGGAGACGTTTGGCGTGTGAGACGGCAGACGCAGGGGGGTGGTTTCAGCCTCCCCACCTACCCCCACTGTGACCTGAAGAAGGCTGTGGTGATGCTGCCGGGCTTCTTGTTTGCCCACAAAGCAAGTTCCTCTCTGACACGCCAGAACATCCCTTTGTCCATGACAGAGGGATTTTCTATAATGACGGATTGTTCTGGAGAAGGAATCGGTTTAATGACAAAAATGAGCAGCTGGTGTTGGCAAAGCACATAACTTTTACTACGACACAGTAAATAACCTGAGGTTTATCTTTCAAATCAATTTATCGTGATCGTAACATGACAAACAATCGCTGTTGTTCTGTTGTGGTTTCACGGAAATCCGGACTCAGCTTAATTGTTGCTTCTCACATGACTTTGTTATTTTTTCCCCTCCATCATATGGAAAATGATGTTAACTACGAGGAAACTCAAACAGCAGCGATTGAGGGTGGCCCGCTTTTGTGGAAAGTCTGAAAGTCAAAGCCTGCATTGTTCATACATCAATCCGCCAGACACACTGTACTAGCGTCACACGATGTTCAATGCGACCGGCATTGGAGCAGCATGAACGGCAGCATAATAATGCCGTTTTAATTTAATGCTTTCATGCTTGAGTCGTACTAATTTGAGAACATTTAAGTGTGATGGGAGGGGTCCGCAGATGCATCGCGGAAGAAACCAATGAACTTGCACACATCAGCAAGTCCTTGATTTGAATCTAAGCGGAAAATTCAGTTGAAACATCGACAGTCACACCACAGATGAGGCACGCTCACACCTTGCACCTTTCGCATTTTCTGATGCACCGAACGGCGTCAACACCCAGGCGGCGAGCGCTGGTGACGGCCGGCAGCCACCTGTGTTCAGCTGCAGTTCCTCCGTGAGGCTCTGAACGGAACGTAGGAACCTGCACGCTCTTTGAGGAACGGACGTGGCGCTGACGAAATCGTGCAGGCAGCTGGAGGATAAACAGAAATACACCCAGACTTTGGAGCACGGGCACAGCTCAGCTGGGGGTGCTGACGGGACCCGTGAGCATGCGAGCGCTCCACATTTTCCCGCTTTCCTATTGCACTCTTTCTGACATTTGGGGGAATCGAGAAACAATAAATCAAGCTCTGGAAGGAGAAAAAGGGACTCAACGCTGATGTACTTGACACATGCATTGAACATTATTCGGACGGAACAATTCAAGGGGGAGAATTAGATGCGAATTCAGGCATTAGGTGACAAGAATGCCAGAGTAATAGCCACTACCAGCTTCAGCATCACATACCAGCATCTCGTTTTGAGAAGCAAAGAACTATGTGTAAAGAAATATGATGTAACTGCCTGAAAACTAACAAGGGAAGCGGGCTGCTGGAAATACTGTTTCTTTGTCTCAGCTTCCGCGATTCTCCTAGGAAGAGTCCGATCTCACCAAACCCTTTAAATTATAGCCTACAGTCATTTTCCAAGACAGTCCGGGATTCGCACAGATTAATGGGATACGTATCTGGCACACAGTGCAATTTATAGACCACCACACAAATATTGTGACCCAAATTATGTCCATTATTAAAAAGGAAACAGCTCGCCTGTTTCTAGTCTATTATGTCGGGGTTTCCATGGATACTATAAGACCCAGGTTGTTTGATGTACATTTGAACACTTCTTTTTCTAACAAAAGACACATGATTCCCAACCAAAAATACAACAGGGAAGTGTAACTTCTGTAATTTATATCTGAGCAAGAGATTGCTTAATATAATGAAAATATTGCAAAAAAAACCGTTTTGAAATTAGACAGAGATGATCAATATACTAGGACCTTTTATAAAAGTACACACTCCAATGTCATATTGCTAATCCCAGTTTTCAAACTAAAAATGTTACCTGAATTTATAAATATTTTGGGTTTTTTTTAATCCTCACCATACGAAAATGTTGGGTGTCCAGCATTGGCGATATTAGCTGTACGGTCACCACGTGCCGCCTTATTTAAAAAAAAATGACTCTATTGACTGTGTTTGATATTCACATCTATACCTCGATAGATGAGGTCGAGGCATGCAGTCGCTATGACCTCGTTACCCGCTTGCACATTTCTGTACAAGCAGAACAATCTGGGAGGAGGAGTGCGGCTTTAGCGAGGATACAGAACAAGTTCAGTTTGGTATCACACCGCTGTGAACACAAGCTCATAATACACGCAGCCGATAATGAGAACTGCCTGTAATCAAAGTGTATATCCGCGCCATGCCCCACCAGCGCATCGTTATTTATGGATAAATAAGCCCTTTGTTTATGGGGTTCCTCGGCTTGTAACGAAAACACGTCCATTTCTGAATAAAATAAGGTTCTACCCAAATGTTCAGTCACACCATAAGCGGAGGACAAAGAAACAGGAATTGATTCCTTGACTTTTTTCCCTTGATTCCTATTATTAACATACAATTGAAGATTAATGTACTGCGTGCCGTTAAATGCTGATGCATTCATCATCAATTTTATGAAAGCAGTTATCAAACTTAAGTTCAATTCTCAAAAAACATTAAGCAGGTCCTAAACAGCTGGGCACTGCAAAACATTCTTACAGTAAGCTCTAGGTACGTGAGAACTGCAGCCTGAAACGTAATATTCATCGCATCCATACATGCACGCACGCCTGTATTGCACAGGCACAGGACTAACACGGCGCCTTATTCCTTTGTGTGCAAAAGCTGCACCGCGCAGCTTCTCGCGGTTTCGGCTGCGAAGCGGAACGGTCGCGTGTCGCCACCTATTGGAGACAGGTCGCGTTGCATCATAAAGACGAAACGAAGCAAACAGTAACAGTAATAAAAAGCGGGAAGCTGTCACATCCGAGGCTTTATATAACAGCGCCGGACATTTAAAATGTAAGAAAGATATATACACTAACGTCAGATCGCAATACTGGAAGAGAATTTTAATGGTTTGTAGATGGCAGTTTTTTTTTTTTTTAATTACGATGGTTCCCGTTGACCTGAGGTCAAACTGAGTCACGTCCACAAAATGCAGAAGTGAGAAGGAATACAAACTTGATGTCACAACCAGGGGCGTTGCTAGAGATTTTGGGCCCCATGAAAGCATATCATATCCAATCCAGTTATTTTCCTAATTTTTTAGGGCCCCTGTCACTCAGGGGCCCTTGGAATCTTCCTAGCTTTCCTCCCCCTTACGGCACCCCTGGTCACAACACAGTGCTCTGGGATAGATCCAGAGCAGCATAAATAATAAACAGGACCATTTAAGCTTAAGCGTCTTTGTCAGTGACCTTCATAGTTATTGCAGCTTCAGATCTGAGTGGTCGAGGCGTTTGGGCAAACAGACATCAGAGCCTTTGGAGAGTTTATTTTATTATGGATTTTTCACTGGTTAACTCCCATTCCCATAGCTTAAGAAATCAGACATATTTATATACATTACATAATAAACAGGTCGAACATGTTAATGCAAAAACCTTAAAAATTGGGGAAACCTCACCGCATTCCATAAGTGAGTAGCATATTTTAAATATCTACGTATATTACATATACCTAAGTGATACGTTACCATGAGGACGTCTTGTCCGTTAATGTTACCATTGTTGGTAAGGCTATTCAGCAAAATGACTCGATTGTGCAAAACTGCGGTATGACCGCCAGGTGCTCAGGACAGAATGAAATGGCCGACCAGGGGCGGCCGCATGGAACTCTCTGCTGGCACGATGGCTGCACTGGAGATGCATTTCACCTGCGGCGCATTTCTCAGAAACCAAGTTACATAGCGGTAAAGCGGAGCGCAGTCCATGCACCGCGCTTTGTTCTTATGCGAACGCCTATAGCTACAAACTTGCACCAAGTCACATTTTCATCAGACGCTTCATCGTGTTACTATAGGTGCAACCGATCAAGTCTGAAATACGGCAAAATCGTTTAAAACACAAGCAGTCGTGTTCTAAGGCAGAGGGTGAAATCAAACAGAGGACGCGTTTCGATTACATGGAAACCCAAAAGGCCAACTGCAGACAAAGATGGTCACCCTCGCATTAAGGGGCCTTAAGATATAATCAAATATTCAACAAGACAAAACAAAACTAGAATATGAATACTGAGCTCTTGAAAGAGACACTGAACGAGAAATGCATACCTATTCTTTTAGTAGGTTCAGCCAAGGACCCAAAGTACATTATGCCCGTGACAGTTTGTTAGTTTAATATAATAAAGACAGAAATATTGCATTCCCATTCAAGAAGTTGGAGATTTGCGTTCGTTTTCTTCGCGGTGACGCATACGATCAGTGTACACGGCATTTTTAAATTATCGATACAAAAACCCCTTAAAATCTAAATGAAATATTAGGTGTTCAGGTATCACTTGGTAGGTCATGCTCACATCAAACAGGGGGCAGGACGAATGACCCTGCCGACACACATCTCTCTCTCCTAAATAAAGTAAGAAGTCAAATCAAAAACAGCGTTGCATAATCCACCTGGGGCTCAGGTAGTCTGGGTCATCTCACAATGCGTGATATCCTGCGGCCGACTCCGCTCTCTCCCTCAGCGACCCGGTCACTGATGGTCGCAGGCCAGGGCTCTCAGGTACCTTTAGTCTGGAACATTTACTACACCGCCTGTTTTGGACGGAGAACGCAGGTTTGGTCTTAACAGTAACTAGACAGCAAAAACGGAAATATATTTGGGGGATTTTTCTCTTTTGTGGAGGTGTCCCAAATCTGTAACGGCTTTACGGCCTCCCCGGGGCAACGCGGCACGGCATTCCGGCACACGGCGCGTCGCGGGTCTCTCTGGGGCTCCGGGAACGCAGAGGCGCCCAGACCCCAGCCTCTGATCATGGGACAGGAGGTGGTGCGGAGTGCTGAGGGACAGAGAGCTGTGGGGAGCTGCTGACTTTCAGACCACACTACTGCTAAACCCTACAAGAAGGTCCCGAGAATGAGATGTAGGGGTGGGGAGGGGGTGCGTGAGTCTCTGTGGCATAAGGGGGGGTGGCGGTATGGATGTGGCCATCAGGAGGTGCCCTGCCTCTTCTGCTGCTGGGCCCGGATCAGCTCTAGCTGCTTTTTACACTTCTGGTAGTAGGTGGACAGGCTCTTGTTCTCCTCAAGAAGCTTCTTGTGCTCTTGGACCAGGCGGGAGGTGTTCTGCTGATCTTTCTCGTCCTGGTCGAGCTCGGCGATTAGCTCCTTCCTAAATTTGCGTGGGAGGAATAAATGAATGAGTAAGGTATTGCCAAAAACCCAGGAGTAGACGGGGTGCCGCGCCGATCCGGAGACGCTCACAGCAACGCATCAGCCCGGAGCGGCAGGGCATCGCCGAAACCACCTGTCACATAGGCGTCTGGCTTCTTGCGAAGCCCAGTCTATTTCTGGGTTTAGTTATGTCTCTGTGATATTTCACACGTTTTACATTTACTCAAAGTCACATGTGCAAACTGCACAGCTTTACAACCATGTGAAAAGGAAGATCGAGCGTAGGTGGAGATCACGGTCGCAATATTAAGCGCGTGATGATGCATCAATATCATACATCTGGAGTATGTTCCTTGAAAATGTCCACTGAAGGCATTAAGTGAAACACTACTTTAACGTAGGATCCAGTGAGTTTACACAGACATTTACATGAATTTCAGTAGTATGTCAGTGCGTGTACAGAGGGACTCCTGGATCCTCAGGAAACAAGTGGAGAGAGAGCGAAAGTGAAAGCAAAATGCAGATATAACCCTAAACATCAGCTAGGTAAGCCACAAAGGCAGGGAGATCCTTTAATTACGGGAAACTCCCACAAATCTCTTTAACAGTATGAGAAACTAAAGCCGAAAAAATAAGCTATCAAAATTAAATCCTGTGACAAGACAAGTTGTCCCTGGGAAAAGGCATCCGCGCCTGTGAGCAGCGTAAACTGGAAAGCTCTTACGAAAGAGCAGATTCTCTCCCAGTGGCGACCAGACTGCACCCTGCTCATCCTCTATAAATACGCGATGAGTGCTTGAGCAGAACACACACAGTCGTGCCAGCATACTGTGCCGCTCTCCCACTCGGGGAGCGCCGGGTGTGTTGCGTTTTGCGCCTATGCTCAGTTAATGTATGACAGAGAGACTCTCTGGGGACTTTCAGCCCTCCATTGAAAACCTGTATGTGGTACTTTCTGTGCCGTACGAACACTGATATTTAGTCAGGTCACCTCATCCCAGGACTAGCGGCCTGGGACAAATGCAGGTGTCTCATCCAAGGGGAACTAGTCTAATGCTTTATGGTGGGTGAAAAACACTCCAGTACACCCCGTCTGGATAAACGGGTTCTGAATGATGGGTGGATGGATGGAACAGGCCAGTAGCCACTTACTTTCTCTGGATTAGCAGGGCGATCTCTGTCTGGACCTTCAGATATTCCTGAGCCATTTTGCAGTGCTGTTCAAACACTGCCATGGACTCTTTGGAGTTGGGGCACGGAGCAAGGGGCTGAAAATAAGCGAGCATTTGGCCAATAATTGATTCAGCCGCTTAAGGCCTGTTGAGGCTGCATGGCCACAGTATTTATAACCGCAATCAGGGCAGTCACAACTTATAAATATACAGCAGAAATCACAGACTAAATCTCAGTATAAATATACCCTCAAAGATATTGGCATTCTGCTTTTAGATGGAATCATTTTCTCTATTTAAATGCAGACATCCAGGCTTAATTTAATTAAGCATTTTCATTTTATCTGACATTAAGCTGGAGCGCTAGGTTACTATGGAGACATTTGTCTTCAAAGGAGAGTAAACAAAAGGCACGAGACGTGGGGCTTCATTCAGACGCCTTCTCCTCGTGCTTCACAAACACCCCGAGTCCTCGGGGAATGACCGGGCGGATGCCCCAGCGGCCCGGATACCTGCAGCTGATGGTCCAGCGTGAGGTAGGCCATGGGGATGGAGTTGTCGGAGCCGTTGGTGTCTGAGGAGGGCACAAAGAAATAATTTTTCTTAAGACAGTCTGGTCCAGACTGACTTCCAGAAGATGTCGACAGACATGACAGGTCTATAAACCCAAATGAACTCTTTAGAACATTATGAGTGTGCCCTGAATCATCGCTGAAGCTCAGGCAACGTCTGCAACCATGGTCAAACGCTACATATACTTTATCACTCAGCAGCTGGTGTGATTACATCACAGCAGGCGATGGATTAATGACCGTAATCTTCAGACCAGGAAACAGACTTCTACAAACAGATGGCATCAAGCCCAGCCTTCTTCCTGAGCAAATCCTTAGCTTCTTTTCTCGAGCATTATTAGCACACAGGTGACAGGCATGTACGAAAGGCAGGTGACGGGTGTGTGACGGCAGACGGTCATACCTGTGGGGTCGTCGGGGGAGAAGACGAAGCCTCTGCCGGCCTTGTCCGACGTGATCATCCTCACGCTGGGGCTCGAGGACCTGCTGCTACTCCTACTGCCCTGCAAGGGCCCCCAAATCAAAGGCACAGCCAATCAGCATCTTGGGGTGTCACATGGCAGCCAATCACCACAGACACAGCCGCAATTCCAAGCATGGAACAGCTGGTGGGGTGAGTCTATGGACAACATTTGAGAACCCAAACAAAAGGGGCAATGACTATGCAAGACAACCTGCGAGCGAAGGCCTGATACTCATCTCCACGGTATGTAGGGGAAAACACAGGCATAATAAACCAGAAGCACAGGGGGAGATATTTTGCCGAAAGGTATTCAAAACAGGATGTTCAGCTGACAAGTCAGGTTTCTACATGAAAGCTAATCTGCACATGAAAAGTGTTGGAGGCAAAATGTTACCTATGCCCCATAATGAAGAAATCTTGGCCGGTGACACACCTACACTGCTAAAAAAGAACATCCGTCCCCCCCCCCTGACTATAAGCATAAAAAATCAGCAACTGTCTGCTAAAGTCCCAGCACTGGGTGGGGGCTGCACTGCGTGCCGGGGCTGGGGGGCCCAGGCACACCCCAAGACTTTGGGATTACAGAAGCTCTCAGGAATGTCAGTCAGTTCAAGGGCCCTTGCACTTATGATTCTGCTCCTATATTAGATTCCCACAACTAGCGATGTAACATGAGCAAAAACTCAAAAAGGTCCTGAAGCACATGTCCCTCCTCATGGAGAAACGTGTCTGACAGAAGTCATGGCATGTCGGAGACTCTCAGTGTGACTGACAAACATCACAAGCAGGTTACACAGCTGTGCTGAGGACCGCAAGGCAAGGAGCAAACAAAACAAGTCCATAAAATTTCTACAGGCTGCATAACGTGCAAGGGAGTCAGCAATGAGACCCAGTCTTTGTCTGACAGTATTCCTGACCCATGGTTTACTGTCTGAGCTCCATCAGAGCAGCTGGTCAGTCGCGGTCCTGCTGTAGGTTAAGGTCAGAGTCACACGCACACAGCACACAGTGTGAGATCGCGACGGCCGCAGGACACCCGACCCTCAGCGCTGTACCTGGCTGGACTCCGTTCCGATGGCCGGCAAGTCCTGCACGGAGCGCCGTCTCTGCGACTCGCAGCTGGCTGCGTGCGAGAGGGAGACAGGGAACAGGGACACGGTGACACACGTGTGCTGCACCTCGGGCGAGACTGCAGCAGGGTGAGGGTCTGGGGAGATGCACAAAGACAGCTGCGCTAATTTAGCTATTGACTTGCTGGTGTGCTGGCTAGGGCTGATCCTCTCTGCATGGCCACACACACACACACACACACACACACACACACACACACAC